TGCAGGGCTTGATGAATCCAAGGCTGGGGTAAAAATAGCTGGAAGAAACATTAACAATCTTAAATATGCAGATGACACCACTTTGATGCCCGAAACCGAGGAGGAGCTAAGGAGCCTTCTAATCAAGGTGAAAGAAGAAAGTGCTAAAGTTGGATTGCAGTTAAACATCAAAAAACCAAGATTATGGCAACCAGACTGATTGATAACTGGCAAATAGAGGTAGAAAACTTAGAGGCAGTGACAGACTTTGTATTTCTAGGTGCAAAGATTACTGCAGATGCAGACTGCAGCCAGGAAATCTCTTCTTGGGAGGAGAACAATGACCAATCTCGATAAAGTAGTGAAGAGTCCATGAGGTCACAAAGAGTCGGAAGTGACTGAACGAATGAACAACAACAACAACAGATCCTTATCATCAGTGGATAATGCCCACATGTGCTGGAGAGGTTTGGAGCATTCTGTCCACCATTATTGCTCCTCTGCAGCATGTGTCCTTCTCCCAGTGATCCAGACATATTTCTGGCCCCAGGGAAAAGTGGAAACTGGCAGCCAATGATAATGAATTTGTCAGAAGAGCCATGTAGGTAGTTTCAAGAAAATGACACGGTAAGCTCTCAGCATTCATCTGCTGCGAGCCATCTCAGCCACACTCCCTGTATTGTATTTTGTGGTTTTTTGCGATATTATACTCAAATGTCACTATGTTTGTTCATGTATCATCACAGCTTTGGGGGTGCTTGTCATTGGCCCTGGGTCTGGGGCATCCCCTGGGCATTGCTGATGATAAGGGGGTCCCCTTACAGGATTGTGTGTGTGGTGAAGGCTGATCTGGCCTTGGCTTCAGACGTCTTTACACCACTGCTTAGTGGTAACAGAGGCTATCATCAGGAAGCTTAGACCCACATGGTATCTTTCCTGTCATGCCAAGGTTTCCAAGACGTGGGCTGGTGCATAAGACTCATAGATCAAGAAGCAGGTTGGTTGATGCCTGCATCTGGGACCCATATTGGACCAACCCTGTTTGCAGCATAGCCTATAAAGTTGTGGCTATTTTGTTCCATATTATATAGTATATATTTGATTATTGGTATCGTGACAGGTAATCTACCCGGAATATGAAATCCAAATGCCAGCTGCAATTCGCTTTTTACATCCCATGGAATATTCTTGCAATTTAGTAAGGTTTGTTCCTCTATTGTTTGTATGTGAACTATAAAGGTTCTTTGTTTTTTAAAAAGAGTACAAATATTACCAACGTAGTAGCAGATTTGTTCATCCTGGCAAGTGGGAATACACATTTGTAATTTGGTTGCTCTCCCTAGTTCATAAACTATGTAAACTATATTTTCAGTAGCAATTCCCTTATCATCATTAAATAAGAACAGACAATTCTTCAAAATATCATACGAATGAAAGGTGTTACTTAGGGAAGAACAGTCCCAATGAGAGACCAAAGTAAACTGCAGAAAATCTAGAGGAGCATTGTCTAGTTACCAGTCTCAATCATATACTCAATTCAACATTTTGGTACTAAACCTCAAAGTCCTAAATGTCTTAGGGATTCAAAATCTAAAGTAATCCCTTCTTCCACATGTTCCTACCCAATTATTAAAGCAAACCTCAGTCATTTGTCTCTGTGTACTACCTCCTATATTGATGTGATGGATATGTAACAAAGAAAGTATTTTTCCAGTATTAGTCCCCTCCTTTAAATATGAAATCCTCACTATAAGTCTTTCTTCTTTTGGCAGGTGTTCAGTTCCTAGTTTTTATTTTTATTGTTTTGCTTTTGCAACATAAATGTCATAGCTAACTCTACATATTCCAATAATTTTATGTTTAACTTGACAAGGTTTTGTCTGCATTCTTTGTTTTCATTCTTTTTTGTTTTTGTTTTTTATTATTTCTGTGCTCCCCTCCCCACTCCCAAGCCACAGCTTTTACATATCATCTGTCCAAAATTTCAATTCTTCTTGTGGAGGTAACTTTCCTTCTTTATTTTTTAATCCTTTTTCAATAAATTTTCTCCATACATCATCAAAATCACTTTGTTTCCATATAACTCTTTTAACTTTTAATATACACGTCAGCTTATCATTTATTGCCAATTTCCATACTTCCTTGTACTACTCCTCTATGTGTATATTTATTTCTTTTTTCCAGTTCCTTGCTATAAGCAGTCTTGCTATTGTTAATAAATTTGTTATTGCTTCTTTATCCTCTTTTTTCAATTGTTTATTATTATATAATGATAATAAAGCTATACTAGGACTTCTTTCTATTTTAATATTCATTATATCTTCTATTTCTCTAAATACTTTCCCCCAAAAAATATTTACATATTAACATTGCCACCACATATGTATATATGTTCCTGATTCTTGACATCCCCTCCAGCAATTTTTGAATAGTTTTTATTTATATTTGCTGTTCTTACTGGTGTTAGATACCATTTCCATATTAACTTATAATAATTTTCTTTAACCCGTATTGATAAATTTTTTAGATGTCTTTGTCTCCATAATTGTTGCCATTCTGTTTCATTTATTTTTATCCCTAAATCTTCTTCCCAGACCTCTTTGAGGATGTTATTTTTTGTTTTTCCTTTCTTTATTTCAATTATTATCTTATATATTTTACTAGTTATTCCTTGTAAATTTTCATGCTCCTCTACAACCCTTCCATTTTGTATTATTTGTTCAAATTGGTTAATCTTACTTCGGTTTTTATTGTTTTTTTCCCAATTTTAAACCATTGTTTTAATTGTATACAATGGAACCATGTCAATTTTATTTGTCTAAATTCTTCCATAATCGTTTCCTTCTTCATTCCAACCTTTATCCAATCCCCTAGTTTGTCTATTTTTTTTCCCTTTAACTTTTTATCCATTACGTTTTTTAAAAAAATTGGAAATTTCTTTTCCATTACAATTGGGGTTATTACTGAAACATCCATTATTAACATTCTCCTATATTTGTTCCATACTTCTAATATATTGCTCCACAATGGGTTTCTAATTTCCCTAGTTTCTTTTCTCGTAAACTGTTTTAAAAAATATATATTCCAAATTTCTTCCTCCACTTCTTCCGAATCTATTCTTAGCCAATGTATCCCCTCTTTTTTATCATTCCTTCTATATACTTGCGTCATAATATTTTTTAATATTAGGGAGTGCTAATCCTCCTCCTTTTTGCGACTTTGTTTTCATTGTAAAATCTGTGTCTATATACGTATGTGTAAACTGTCTAGAGCACATTTGCCACTAAATGGCCTCTCTATATTTTAATGAAAGAAGGAAAGAATTAAATAATTATCACTTGGAACTGGTTGCATATAAAAGTATGCAACTAACAGTGCAGGAACCTGTTAGCAAGAATATTTAAATGTAAAGTAATGTTCATCAAGCTAGTTAAAGTACCCTAACCAGTAAATATGCAGCAAATCCTTCCTGTCAGGTAAAAGAAAGTGGAATGCCAAGCTATGCCTGAACAAGTTTTGCTTTTAGTTACACCAGTATTCTGGCTGAAACAATAAGAACAGCTTTCCTAATTCTCTGCGGTCTTGCCATCATCTAGCCAATTGAAAGGGAAACACCAGGGACTGAATGTGAAAACTTTTATATGCAAAATCTATGCTGAGGCACTCGGCTTTGGCCTCTTCCCAAGGCAAGTGTTATGCAGGTCTAGGATATTGTGACTACTTACACGGCCTCAAAACTGCACATATGAATGAAATTATTGTTAACCAGAAGCACAACAATGATACATAGAACAAAATCAAAAATAATCATGTTGCTTTTCTAATTCCATATTAAATACCTAATTCTAGTTTGAAAGTCCCTGACTTTTTCATCATGCAAAAATGTTAAAAATAATGCTGTGCTAAAGACAGTGCTGGTGTTGAGGTCACAGGTTTGCACACAATTTGAGTAGGAATGAGAATAATAGCCCCTTTGAAAGTGTTGAAACCTGGGTTGCTTGAATGGTGGGAAACTATGAAACAAGAATTATGAATTGACAAGAATCTTTGGAATTCAGGACTTAGGCAAAAAAAATCAATTTTTTCACATAATTTTTCAGCACAGGAACCTGCATTTTCTGTGCAGAAATACTTGTATTTTCTGTCTGTTTAAAAGATACTGAGTCCTGCACACAAAATCTTTTCTGCATCAATCCTCTCACTAGCTCCAAATTTTGCACAGAGTGTTTGCATTTCCTGTGCTGGAAACAGTATTTTCCTGAATAGAAATATTTGCTGAAGATGTTTTTCCTGCATGTGAAACATTTTTTCTGTGTATAAAATTGTCGATTTTGCACAAAATAAGTACTCAGATGTATGTAAAAACTTTACAAAATAAGTACTCAGATGTATGTAAAAACTTTACAGTGTAAGAAGACTCTCCCAGTGAAAAAATAGCATTAAAATTACTGTAAAAACAAAATTACAGAAGAATTATATTCCTATTTTGAGTTGTTCACATTTTTGAGTTGTACAACTCCCCCCCCCCCCATACAATCAATATAAGATAAATTAAGATGTTCACCCTGGATTGGTTGGGGAAGGGGGGGGGGGTTCCATTAAGAACTACAATTAGCTTCACTTGTATTGAAAAAGTACTTTAAGCTCCTGGAATTCTACTTTTGCTGTTGACTTGATTTCACCCGGGAGCCTTTTCCCAGAGTTTGGGGACCCTGCATCTCATGTATAGCAAAAGCATTGCTCCTAGAAGGTCCTATGGATGTTATTTTACCAGAAATTCACCAGAGGAGCTCTTAAAATGGGTTTGAAAGGGATGCATATAATCTCTTGGCAGCTCATAACTATTCCACACACTGCAGCAAGGACTTATCTGCTACTGGGATTGGTAAAATGTCAGTAAACTTCAGTAAAATATCAGTGGATATGAATGAGAGGTAAAAAATTTGTTATAGTTAGGGGAAAAACAAATTCAACTAACTCCCAATATATGAAAAAGAAAATGTATATACGTTCTCACTTACAGTTGGTTGCATAACATATGACGGATGAGGCATCCATGAAGTACTCTGAACCTATGGATCAAAAAGCAATAGATTAGCACAATTGTGATTGGGTTTTTAATGGAGGGGAGGGAATACAGCCACAACATTTAAGTACATTTAAGCAACTTGTGATATATTGAAAACATGATGCTCTGGGTTTGAAAAATAAAGAACTTGTTCCTCAAGGTTGGAAAATGACACTTTCACTCTTTTATGTGATAATAATAATATTGAGATATTTGGGGATAATCGTCATTAGATTTCCCTCAAAATAGTGCTAGCTGGATACTATGACAAGTGTGGCTGCCATCCAGCCTGCTCTTTCCTAGCCCATAACATCTTTCTCCCCGCTCCTTCCGTGCATTTATCTGTATGATCTGGTTTGTATACTACTTCAGTGCTTTCTGTACTGAAGCAATGAAGTAGTATAGACAAACCAAATCATGCAGATCATACTACCACTAGAAAGGTATGCTCTGAGCATGTACCACTAAAATTGTATCATGGTATTGCAGAATTATGCAAATTCACTGAATTTCACTTGCAAAAAAGAGCAGATGTAGGGTTGTTTCAGGTTGCAGTCCATAGAATTATAGAATCATAAACTAATAGATTTGTAAGAGATTCCTTGGAAAATCCAGTCCTACTCCCTGTCAGGCAGGAGGAGCACCAGCCTCTGTTTAAATATCTCCAAAAGGAATCTCCAGCACACTCTTATAGCCAGGAGGTTCTTCCTAATGTTAAAAAGGAATCTCCTTTCTTGTAATTTGAGTCCATTGCTGTGGGCCCTAGTCCTCAGGGCAGCAGAAAAAATGTCTGCTCCCTCTTTCTTATGGCAGCATTTGAAATATTTAAAAATAGTTATCATGTCTTCTCTCAACCTTCTCTTCTACAGGCTAAACTTACCCAGCAATTCTTGTAGAGCCTAATGCTATTTAAAGCAGCACCACACCTGGTACTATGTTCATTGTGGGAAGAAGAGAGTTCTGTGAGCACCTATTGCCCGCTTTAGGTGTAGGGAATTCTGTTGCCTAGTGGCAAGGGATAGGGGAGGACCTATGTTTGAGGGTGGCCTCAGGTTTCTGCTCTCTTGGGAGGTTAGGCAACCTGTGGGTAGAGACCAGAAGGCTGGCCTTCCAGAAAATTTCTGACCTGGAAGCCACTCAAACTTTGGAAAGGATTCCTCTCAAGAGTTCAGGTGTCTTTGCCCAGAGGAAGCTGAGGAGGAGGCCTGCGTAGAGACCATAATTAATGTCTTCTTCCTGGTTTTATTCCAAAAAATCTAATCTACACAATTCCATGCATGTCTACTCAAAAATAAGTTTCACTGAGCTTAGGTAAGCATGTAACATGGCAGTATACATTTTTCCCATGAAGGCCTTCTGAATTATGCACTTCCTTAACTGCAGAAATCTCACAAGCTCCATAACTTTCAGCATAACCTATCTCTATTATAAACTATTTTTAGTTCATAATAGATCTCTGGATGATGTGTATAACAATATAACATGAGACATGCAATGCAGTAAGGCGGCGAAAATAAGAGGCATAAAATCTATTCAACCAGGAAATAAACAAATCTATTACTTGAAAACATTCAATAGCTTGGCAAAAAGAAACATTTTGCTTGGCACTGAAAAGAAAGCAAGACTGGTGTTCATAATTATCCTTCTTTCAAAGCTACACCAAAGGGGAATGGACCCTATTTTTATGTGTATTTATTTTGGAAATGCATAACTTATTCAAGAATAGGGATGACATTTGTCTTACACTGGTAACTCTGACCTGGAGTTTTATAAGAGTGTACAGCAAGCCTATCCTTATACAGGACTGTACCCAGAGAACCAGCTGAAACTGCCAAATGCCACCATGGTCATATGGGTCTTTAGTGGCACTACTGGAACAAAGAACTTGCCACAAGTTGTAGTCCTTCAAGGGTACAGAAGCCCCATCTGGCATAGGCCAAACATGGAATTCCTAGACCCAGGAACAATTTAACTATAATACCATAATCAACCTTTACGTTCAGTTTATTGGTGCTCAACTTCTGGTTATTGGAGTTGGAGATTGATACAGATGCAATGAAAAAAGTATGGCTAAAAGGAAAAATTGCCTAGAATCTTGTATATCCACTTCTCTAAACAAATCAAAAATCTTATGATCTTATTATTGTGATAAGAGTATTTAGAGTTGACACTTTTGTTTATATGAGCTCTCCTGCTCTTTCCCTCTCTTTTAATTGTATGCATTATTATTTCTGTTTTCCAGACTATCAAGATTACATGGCGCATCTGATACTTCTTTTGTATAATTTATTATTTCTAGTAAACGTGATCTCGTCAGAATCCTCGGGAGTTAAAATAACAAAACACCTGTTTCTATGATCCTTAGCATCTAAAGCTAGATTGCAGAAATGTGCAGTGCATGACCCTCAGTTTGAAGGCTATTAAAAATTGAAATTGGTACAGAATGCATAAACTAAACTACTATAAAGGGTTGATTAGCCAGAACACACTTTAGCAGTTTGAAGCAGCTCTACAGACTCATATCCATTTCTAAACATAATTTAAATTATTAGTTTTGTCAGTGACAGTTGAAATTGGACTACGATTTTAGTTAAGAGATGCATTGGATTGTATTGGTGGCCCAATACTATGTATTGTATGTTGTTTTTATGCTTTTTATACTGAATATTGTTGATTGTTTGTAGAGTTGTAAATCGCGTTGAGTCGCCAATTTTGGCTGAGAAACGGCGGTATACAAGCGCAGTAATAAATAAATATAAATAAATAAATATACTCAGTCTGAATCCGGAACGGACCACTGAGTTATCTTGGGACCTCCTCCCATTTGGATCCCCCAGTGGTGCAGTAGGTTAAACCCTTGTGCTGGCAGGACTGAAGACCGACAGGTTGCAGGTTCAAATCTAGGGAGAGCGCAGATGAGCTCCCTCTGCCAGCTCCAGCTCCCCATGCAAAGAGAGAAGCCTCCAACAAGGATGATAAAACATCAGAACATCTGGGCGTCCCTGGGCAATGTCCTTGCAGACGGCCAATTCTCTAACACCAGAAGCGACTTGCAGTTTCTCAAGTCACTCCTGACATGGAAAAAAAATCCCATTTGGGACAGAAGGTGGGAGACATTGTCTTCTTACCATAGTGTTTCATGCCTTTCGATTTATAAGAAAAGCAGATAATTCATTCAACACTATTTCACATGATGGACTCCACCAGTTTCTAGACAATTCCTCTGTTTATTGAACTATCAAATGGGGAAGTGTAGTCTCCACCCATACCACTTTTGTTTTGATACATATATCAAAAAGGGAAACTTGGCTCTTGAAAATCCCAGGTCTATATAAAGGAAAAATATAGCTACTGCAAATTAGAGATAGTGAAATTGTGCATTTAAAAAAAGTATTGTTAAAGTTGCATGCAAGATGAATAGTAACAAAAAGCGCATTGAGGCATACTTAAAAACTCCCCCCCCCAAATAACCACACTTTCATGTCACTAAAACAATCTAAAAAGGAGCAATTTAACTGCTCCCATCCCACCTTAAAATAAGTGTCTTTCATTGTTTCTATGCAATTGGAAAACTCTGGAGTTGACTGCTCCCTTCCCCAAGTGATTCTCAGTTCACTCCTTACATCCCTCAAAGAAATCTAGATGAAGATAGTCCTCAAGTTCCTACTAATCTTTCCTTTAAGGAAATCGCTATCAAGATCTTATGGCAGTGCCCAAGATCAGTATTCCCCTTTGCCATGATATCAGAGAAGGCTTTAATCTTCCTTTTAAGGAATAATATGAGAGGGATGATCTAGTCTACTTTACTCTGACCCTCCCCCCAGATTATTGAAAGAGAAAACACAAAGTCTAAGTAACTATAACATCTTTCTTTGCTTCATGTACTGCAGTCCATGAATATATATCTAATCAAAATCAATTAAAACTATGTTTTTATTGACTTTTATATATATGGCTAGAAAGAGCATGGCATACACATTAGGGACCCAGAATAATTCAATCAACATTTTCTATTTCCATTTGTTTATATGTGCTTCTTTATAGTATTTAACATATAATCAATATTATTCAAGAGCATGGACAATTAACACATGTATTTGCACTCATCCAAACATTATCATTCTGAAAAGAAAGTCACATAAAACGCTCATATTGCAAAGCATCATCAAAACATATATCCCACAATGTGTTATTATTCACGAAGGAATAGTATGGGCAGAACACACTGGTCATACTAATAAGACACGAAAAACCATTGGGATATATGGCATCAGTGGAGTGATTAGAAAAATTATTTCAGGATCATATTAACAAAGCAATCATTTTTAAAAGTATGAACTTTGATAGTAATTAAAATTTCATTGCCACAAATAGTGAGGTAGAAGTCTCAGGCAGAACTGATAATGGAGTAATGTTTAAAACCTATTCCCAGCCTTGCTTTTAGAGCTGAGGGGAAAATGCAGTCTTCTAGTGAAGACAGAATTCATCACAGAACATATATATATATATATATATATATATATATATATATATATATATAACATAAACCCAACCTTGCCACAATAGTTATGTTCTCTAAAGCAAAAACTGGTTTCATAGGGTTAAATCGATCGCTAGTTTCATCTACAGCAGATCTAGACGATCAATAGAACTTATATAAATGTTGACTTAGCAGGTTCCCATTGATTTAGCGTGTCTATCCTAGTTGAGACTAAATTGAATGTAGCTCTAATTATTTACCAATACTCATACTTTTTTAAAAAGCCAACACTGGTGATGTAAATTGCAATGTGAGTATAATGATGTTTTTAGCCTGCAAGGTTCTTTTAAGGAGGAGTTTAAAAGCCCTTCTTACTGGTAAGTTATAAAAGACAGAGCAAGAAAGTATCAATATGATGGAGAAAAGGCAGATTCATGCAAAATTATATCCAACAGAACCCTTTTACGTAAGATTGTTGTTTATTCGTTCAGATGCTTCTGAATTTGCGTGACCGCATGGACCAGTCCACACCAGAGACCCCTGTTGGCTATTGCCAGGCCCAGCTCCTTCAAGATCAAGTCAATCACTTCAATGACGACATCCATCCATCTTGCCCTTGGTCTGCCCCTCTTCCTTTTCCCCCAGCATCACTGTCTTCTCCAAGCTCTCCTGCCTTCTCATTATGTGGCCAAAGTACTTCATCTTTGCCTCTAATATCCTTCCCTTCAGTGAACTGTCAGGCTTTATTTCCTGGAATGTGGACTGGTTTGATCTTCTTGTGGCCCAAAGTATTCTCAGAATTTTCCTTCAATACTACAGTTCAAAAGCGTCTATCTTCCTTCGCTCAGCCTTCTTTATGGCCCAGTTCTCGCATCCATAGGTTGCTACCGGGAATACAACTGCTTTAACTATACGGGCATTTGTTGCCAGTGTGATGCCTCTAATCTTAACTATTTTATCGAGATTGGACATTGCTCTCCTCCCAAGAAGTAAACATCTGTATTCCTGGCTGGAGTCTGCTTCTGCAGTAATCTTTGTGCCTAGAAATACAAAGTCTGTCACTGTCTCCACATTTTCTCCCTCTATTTGCCAGTTATCAATCAGTCTGTTTACAACTTGGTCTCTCGTTCCTCTGCCTTTTCTAAACCCAGATTGTACATCTGGCAACTCTTTCTCCATGTATTGCTGGAGTCTACCTTGCAGGATCTTGACCATTACCTTATTGGCATGTGAAATAAGTGCCACTGTACAAAAGTTTGAGCATTCTTTACCATTTCATTTTTTTGGTATGGGGGATAAGTTGATTTTTTCCAACCTGATGGCTATTCTTGTGTTTTCTATATTTGCTGGACCTATACCATGTATCAGCTTGACAGCATCATTTTTCAAGATTTTAAACAGTGTAGCTGGGATCCCGTCATCTCTTGCTGCCTTGTTATTAGCAATGCCGCCCCGAGTCCCCTTGGGGAGATGGTGGCGGGGTATAAAAAAGTGTTATTATTATATTATTATAATAATGCTTCTTAAGCCCCATTCAACCTCACTCCTCAGGATGACTGGTTCTAATTCACTCACCACACTGTCAAAACTATCCTCAATATTATTATCCTTCCTATACAGATCTTCTGTATAGTCTCGCCACCTTCTCTTGATCTCTTCAGCTTCTGTTAGGTCTCTGCCATCTTTGTTTCTTATCATGTCAATTTTGGCCTGAAATTTACCTCCATTGTTTCTAATTTTCTGGAAGAGGTCTGTTATCCTTCCTATTGTATTGTCTTCTTCAACTTACATGCATTGCTTATTTTTTTTAAAAAATCCTTATCTCTTCTTGCAAACCTCTGGAAATGTGTATTTAATTGGGCATATCTCCCCCTATCACTGTTTCCTTTTGCTTTCCTTCTTTCTTAGGCTACTTCCAGTGTCTCAGCAGACAAATAATAATAATAATAATAATAATAATAATAATAATAATAATAATAACTTTATTTATATTTCCCTATCTCCCCAGAGGGGCTCAGGGAGAATTCCAACATACAAAGGCAAACATTAGATGCCACCATAGAACAAACAAGTACTGACATAATAGTCCCAGAAAAACCCCACATATGAAAACAACATTAGAACCTAACATCACTAAATTAAACAAAATGTAATCAAACAAAAATTTGAGCAACAGATTTTGGATATAATGAAAAGTTATTTACTAGGAATTTGTTCATTGTCTTCAATAACAAAGGTTATGCTACATTAAAATTGTAAGTTAGTGAGAGATTTTTTTTCCTTTTTCAGTATAAATGTAACTTTTATGTGACTTCTATATTTACATTGGGATGGCATCACCAAATGACAGCGTTTTATACAGTTCAAGTGATGGCTTACACTGTGTCATGTGCCCTTTGTGGGTGTTAAGGTGCTGTTAAGAGGAAGACTGAACAAGAGTATATTTTGTGTCATAAGCATACGTGTCAATAAGAGGTGGATGGAATGAGATTCTATTTTGTACTATGAAAAAAAAGTAAAGAAGGTATATTTTCAAAATGAACACAGCTAGCTGTTACAGAGGAAAGTTTTAGGCATTTGAAATTTTAACAATAAAGATACCTGTTTTTTCCAGGGTAGGGTTTACTTTATTTTTCAAGTAGTCAAATTTTTGCCTAAATACCATAAAGACACCAGACACTGTCTGGTTTTCGAAGCCAAGCAAAATGGGAGACCACCAATAAATGCTAAATGATGTAGGCTATATTTCAGGAGAAGGAACTGACAAAATAATCTCTGATTATTCCTTGCCAAAGAAATTGAATATTAACTTTTCCAATTCTAGACAAGGAAGAATAGCTATGTACCTGGCCTTTTCTCCCCCTGTATACATTTACTTCACTGGTGTGCAAATTACATAGGGATATATGGGGCACATGCCATTCAAACATACCTGATATGTGGAGACAGGGGAAGCAGCAATGAATGGCGTGATGGATGTCTGTGGAATCATGCGGTTTGTAGCAATACTGTACGGTGAGGAATAAAATCTGCAAACAAACAAAAACAAAATAAATATTTTTAAGGAAATGGATTGACAGGTAGCTGCTTCATAACTATTGTCAGCCAAAGGAAAGTAGGGGCCTTGCCAATTAAATATAGTCCTATCTTGCAAATATGCAAGCAGAATTCAGATTTAAACATTCAAACTCAGCCCTCAGATAGCATTTAAGCGCTATCTACACTGCCATTTAAGGTAGTTTGAAACTGTATTATATGATCAATGCAGACTCATAAAATGCAGTTCAGTGCAGTTATATAGCAGCGTAATGGAGCCTTAGACTAACATTGATTTATGGATCTACTGAGACTACCTCTGGATATCTTCCAATATTACTTCCTTTGAATGTGTTACTTCAGACTATCAGCATAACAACAAAAAGTTTCTCCTATTATAATATTTGGTTTTACTCAGGCTCCTTCTAACCCAAGATTAGATGCCAACTAAAATCTATAAGCATCCAAATACAGTAAAACTAAAATCTATACCAGTGGTTCTCAACCTGTGGGTCCCCACATATTTTGGCCTTCAACACCCAGAAATCCTAACAGCTGGTAAACTGGCTGAGTTGTAGGCCAAAGCACCTGGAGACCCATTGGTTGAGAGTCACTGATCTATACAGTCTTGAATTCAACCAGTTCAGATTTGGAAACTTTAAGACCCCAGTTGTTGACTCTTTTTCTTCTTCTTCATGTTTGTCATAAAATTTAACTGTACTCTATGTTTCACAATCCTGGATTCAGATGTCACACAGTTCTTTTGCATAAAGAGGGATGGAGGAAGTATTTTGGGGAAAGGGGACATGACTGTATAGAACAGACTGGCAGAGTATCCACATCATAAAGAGCCCAATACTTGCAAAAATCTATTAGATTAATTCTGATATGAGAAAAAAGGTTGATGTTCTATCATGTTTGTCAATTTGTTTCATTGTTAAAAAAAACAAAAACGGAAAGTGAGCCTATGAAAAGAAATTAGACCTAGAAGAAGCGTTTTTGTCCCCCCCCCCACTTGCCATGTTACCATCTATTTAAACACACAATTCTAAACCAATTGCCACTATGTTCTCAAAATGGGGTAGGCAAAAAAAATCCAGTTAAAAGGCAAAAAAAATCTATTCAGCCACAAAGCAACTAGCAAATGTCACAGTGTATTGGAGGAGGAAGGATGGATCGAAGCATCCTCCAAAGAAGGAGCAAAGGCAGCATCTACTGGAGGGCAGCAAAGATGTGTCCTCCCCTGCAGGCCTGGATCTGCATTTTTTTTCTCACAGGCAGCAACAAATAATTGCACAATGTTTTCTCATTTTGAGAAAATGATTTTGAATTATATCTGTACTCAATATTTACTCCACGCAAAACAATACACAGTTTTTTTGCATAAACATTTTGTGTACAGAATATATTTTGTATTATGAAGTTTCTTACCAATCACAGATTCCTCATCAGAGCTTGATTACACCCAAGAAGTATATTTAATAAATCATTATTGAATATTATACCCTTGTTGATACAGCAAAAAGGATAGGCAAATCACATTCCTGTAATTTTAAAGTTATGTAGGAAGGTACAGAAGGATTATATGTCAAATGCCTTTTGGCACTTTCTCCTTCTCTTCATAACATTTCAGAAACAACTTGGTTCATTTTAACGTGAATGTTGTCACCTTTACACTTGACATTTCCCTCACACAACAGTATTCAGGATACTATTTCAAAGTAAACGCTTCAGACCCCCAGGACACTTAGTTAAGAGCATCGGGGGAGCGCCGAGAGGCAGGGGCTGGGACAGGCAGTAGCTCGCCACACTTAAGGGTTGACTTGGACAAGCAACACAGAAAGACTGACTTATGCAGAAGAGAGGGAGACTAAAACCTTTGGAAGATATTAGAATTAGAATTAGCTTTACAGACCCATGGCCACTGTTTTTGACCAATTGTTTTTGGAATTTTTTAAAACCATGTGTAAAGTTCATTTTAAAACAGCATACGAAATACCAAACTAGGCTTTTCAATGAGGTTGAGCATTGATTAACTATAATTATTATGATTATTCCAGAAAGAACTTGACTTATTCAGACACTGATGCCTTGATTACTTGTGACAACTGAACTATCCTCTCTCTCTCTCCCTCTCCCTCCCCCCTCTATATATCTATTGACTTTAGAGGAAATCTGGACCGTCCGTATTGATTTTAACTTCTTAATAAAATTGAACTGTCTACAAAGGGTTAATAGCTCTCTAAGCCCAGGAATAATAAACTTATAACAAGTGACAAAGCCAAAATAATGAAGCCAGCTTGGGATATAAAATAAGATGGGATATAAAATAAAAATCTATAATAAAAACCCCCAAAATATACTAAAATGTAGGGATGCAGCCAAAGTAATACTTATACTGATAATTGCTAAGCCTATTTTTCCATAGAGCCTGATACTGTTGTGACCAGGGATGGAAACCTCCTCTGGTACTCTGTGATACTAGATCCTTGTGAGACCTGACGGAGCTCACCCACATGTTACTACCCAGTTTTTAAAATTTTAACTCTGAACATTAGCACTGTAATTGGGATCTGGGCACTTATACCCCAAGAAAAACAGCTCTGGAATGGTCTCTCATCAAACCAGACAAAATTATCATTAAAAAACTGAAGTATGGGGACATATGATTATCCTGAAAATACACTAGTTCCCAGGAGAGGGAGAATGCTATGAGACTGAGACCCAGATCTTAACATGAGGAAATGATGTGCCGGGAGATGGGGGGGGGGGATCTCCACGCTTCATTTCCTTGCACCAGAAGGGTACAAGGAGGACCATAATGGCAGCTAGGCAAGTTTTTCTTCTTTTAAGGGGTTTTGTTTTGGGGGGCTTTGGGGTGGCTGCATGCAATCCCAATAGTAATCAGGATGGCATGTAGACACCCCCCCCCCCCATCCCTGGGGAAAGCTTGGGGATTTTTTTTTTTTGGAGTATGTTTGGGCTTTGGCACATGTTTAAGTGATGTGTGGAAGCGCCCTGACACCCAAACTTTGCTCATCCATTGGGGTCTACATGTACTTCTTTATACTTTTCTTCTGGTACTTGCAGACAGGAATAAATAATTCCTGCAATATTATCCTCACCGTATAGAAATTCAGGTCCCTGATCAGTATTCACACTTTTGAAGGAATTTGTGCACAAAAATATTTTTTGCATGCAAAAAAGATATTTCTGAGAAGAAATAAAATGTGTTTTTCTGGGGGAGGCAGAAAAAATGTGTCTGCCCAGAAAAAAAACAAATCTGCATTTCTATGCAGAAAAATACATACCAAATTACAAAGACCCTTGAAGCTGCATCAAGGTTGTCTGAATTTTTTTCCTAATGGAAATTCCCAAGAATTCAGAAATTCCCCTTTTGGTCAGGGAACCATTCACACTATATAATTGTATGCTAGTTTTCCATTTTGCCATTGCTGCATTGTAGAATTACACTTAGCCATAGTAGCAGTCATAGAACACTTGCAGCAAAGTTGACTGACGGAGCCCCATGCCATCCATCGCACAATGTAGGTTCACTTCTGTCAGGGCTCCGTTGATGAACTGGGATGCAATTGTCCTACAACGCTGAACCAGTACATGTGAGGCTTCCTGTGTTCCATTGGAAACCACGTGGTCAGCACAGGGGGAAGTTGTGCGGTGATGTTGCCTCACGTGTGATCAAGAAGTATCTCTGCTGGTGAGGCGGGGTGCCTGGATTGCCCTGTCTATTTGCGACGGAGGCTGGTGAATCAACCCAAATACCTCCTCATTGTTATGAGATCCTTACTCTACCCTCCGAATGTTGGGATTTCCAGGAAGATAGGCCATTCCCATCCCTTGCAGTTTTAAAAACTGAAGATACTACAGATTTAATATGGGACTTTCCATACTCAAAGCATGTACTCCTGGTAGTGAACTAGAGTCCCTCTCTCCCTCTCCCAAAAGCTGTTAAGTATATTTTCTTATTAATAATGCTTCATTAACTATTTTAGGTGAATTGAGATATTTTGCTATCACAAAAGAAAAAGCAATAACTGTCAGCCATCAACTGAAAAAATGACGTATGAGGCTAAGATTTTCCTGATGCAAAATCTACTGGGGCATTTAGAAGCAGTTGCCAAAGTTAGATTTGACATCCTGATGTTACACAGTTAACATTTCCAGATGTCAAAAGAAGACTCTTTTGACAAAAATAAAAAACGATGACCCTTCGAAACAAAAATACTGAGGTCAGAGTAGATCTACATTCAGAGATGATGAAGAAGCGAAAGAGCTGACATTACTACTATTGGCTCAAAGGGTAAAAATAGGGCATTCCATTTGAATTAAACAGTTTTAATATACACCATTTTTATTAAACAATCATTTTATGTGAAACAATAGACAAAGCCTAACAGTTCTGAGGAATATGAATAACTTGCAAAAAAGAAAAAAAAAACAGGTTCCTTCTGCTCTACCTTTGTTTCTAGCTGAAAGGAGAAATGTCCAAATAAGAAGAATCAAGCTTTTGATTAGTCTTTGTCCATTGATACCTTTTTACTTCCCCACTTTCTTTGCTTTTGTCCTTTTCTTCATTTTTTAAAAAGTTGAATTGTAGCTATACATAATAAAAGTAATGGGTTCTTCTGGGAACATCAAAGGATAGAATTCATCTTTGGAAGGAGGCAAAACTACTAGGCTACTGAAGAAGAAATAACTTGATATTATCTTCATATTGAATTCACATTAAAATAGGTAAAATGCAGATTCCCTAAATCAAAGGAACCATGTCATACTTTCAGTGCCCAAATTTGTCAGACCTTCAGTAGTTGGACAATTTCCCTATAGTTTTGGAAGACTTTATCATTGAATGAACTGAGATGAAAACGGGGGTTTTTTTTTTTGCGGGGGAAGAAAGTCACAGTACAAAATATGTAAACATTTCTGTGTATCAGTTAAAACAAACATGTTTAAATGGAGTTACTCTTCTCTT